TCAGAGGCCTACACATGAGAAGACAGGGAAGGGAAGAGGGGGTGCCAGGGTGGTAGAGTAGAAAAGAATTTTGGGGAGTGAGGGGGGGAGCTGGGTGGACCCCAGGGGGAGAGCAGAGGGAGCAGCCAGTGCAAAGGCCCTGAGGCAGGAGCAACCCTGGCCGGCTCCAGAAGGAGCAAGGAGGTGGGTGAGGCAGTACCACAGAGAACAAAGAGAGGAGATGAGGTCAGAGACACAGATAGTCACACCATTGCGGACCTGACAGGGCCCTGTGAAGGTCTGGTTTCTACTCTGGGTGTCTCTGGAATATTTTGAGTGAAGAAGAATGATCCTTCTGGGTTTTTTGTTAAGAATGCACTGCCATCTCAATGGGATACCACCTCATACCCACTGGGATGGCTGGGATCAAGAAGACAGATGATAGCAAGTGTTGCCCAGTGTGTAGACAAATCGGAACCCACATACACCACTGTGGGAATGTGACATGGTGCAGCCACTTCAGAAAGCAGTCTGGCAGTTTCTTAAAAGATTAAACTCCACTCGTAGGTATAGGCCCAAGAGAATTAAAAACCTACGTCCGCAGAAAACATGTACATGAGTGTGCACAGCAGCATTATTTGTAATAGTCAAAAAGTAGAAACAAGCTGGGGCCGCCCGGTGGCATAGTGGTTAAGTTGGTGCACTCCACTTCAGCAGCCTGGGGTTCGTGGGTTTGGATCCCAGGCGCGGACCCATACATGCCGTGCTGTGGTGGTGTCCCACATAAAATAGGGGAAGATTGGCAACAGATATTAGCTTAGGGATGATCTTCCTCACCAAAAAAAAAGGTGGAAGTGACCCAAATGTCCATCAATGGGTGAACAGATAAACAAAATGTAGTTATATCTATATGGTGGAATATTATTCAGCCACAAAAAGGAATAAAGTTGTGCCATATGCCACAACATGAATGAGCCTTGAAAACAGTATGCTGAGTGAAAGAAGCCAGACACAAAAGGCCACATATTGTGTGACTCCATTTGTGTGAAACGTCCAAATAGGCAAATCCATAGAGACAGAAAGTGGATTAGTGGTTGCTAATCACTAAGGGAGGAGGATGGGAAGGGACTGCTAATGGCTTCAGAGTTTCTTTCCAGGGTGAAGAAAGTGTCCTGGGGCTGCATGACCTTGTGAATACACTAAAAACACACTTTGGTGAATTTTAGAGTACAGGCACGTGTCAATTAACAACGGGGAGACGTTCTGAGAAATGCGTGATTAGGCGATTCCGTCCTTGTGCAAACCCAGATGGCACATCCCGCTACACATCCAGGCTGTTTGGCACCGATCTCCTGGGACCCTCACCGTCTATGCAGGCCCTCGGCCTCCGAAACTTCATTATTCAGCGCTTGGCCATGTGTGAACTGTCTCAGTCAGTTTTGAAAAAGAACAAGAGGAAGGGGAGGTGGGAGCTGCTGGTCTCTCAGGCTGCCTCCAGAGCCGGGGGACGCAGGGCGCCGTTGCAGCTCTCGGGACCCTGCCCGGCGGGCGGGCTCACATGCCACCCTTGGGCGCACCTGCGATGCTGCCCTCCCGGGGCCACTTCTCTCGGTCCCCACACCGGCGCCGCACTGTTCCGTCACTAGAGCTTTGTAACCGCTTCATGTCTGTAAAGAAAGGTGTCCCTTTTACTTTTTTTAATTAAAATTTGCCCTATTTTGGATATATATATATAGGATATATACTGGACAGATTTATCTATGTTATTATTTATAAAATTATTTGTGTGTGTATATACATACATATGTTTTTTAGAGACCGGTTAGTGAATAGTTACAAAACACAACTAAATTTTTCATTGGGATTGCATTGATTTTATCCACTAACTTGGAGAGAGTAGATACCGTTATAATATTAAGTTGTAACATCCAAGCGCTGGGATGTCTTCCATTTATAATAACATCTTCTCGGTCTTTCATTAGAGGATGTTTTTTCCTTGGTTGTGATTTTTGAGAGCTCCCACAGAGGGTCCTGTACACTCTGGAGAAGTGAATTCCTGGAGACAGAACAACATTATTGCTAACTTGAAAGGCGCCTTCTTCTTCTTATGCTTTCTCACTGGTCCTCGGTGCCTCGGGGAAAGCTGTTGGCTTGCGTGGGTTGGTGATGTGTCTGGTAACGACAGTTCTAACGTTTTGTTGACTCTATTGGTTTTTCCGAGAAGATAATTGCACAATGGGCAAATAACAGTTTTATCTTTTTTACTTCCCACTCTTACACCTCTTGTTGTTTTTTATTTATTTTTATTTTTTTGCATCAGCCAAGACTGCCACTTGAATGGGACTCTGGTGTTGCATACTTTTCCACGTAGTGTGGCCTTTAAATGCAAGCCTGTGACTTCATCTGGCACTCAACTAAAGATAGAGGAGTCTGTTCCAAACCTTAAAGAAGGGGGAAACTGTGTTTTGGGTGATATGTTAGGAACTATGCTTAGCTGCTAGACATACAGACGTGAATAGTAGTGACTGAGGTCAGGGATTTAGGTTTTTCTCAGTATTTGGAGTCTGGTGTAAGCAGTCAGGGATTGTCGTTGTCACCTCACGTGTCATTGAGCAGGTGGGTTCATTCCATTTTTCTGCTCTTCCATCCTTAGCTCATGGCTCCCATGTACCCAATGTTTCCTCAGGGTCATAAGATGACTGCTGTCGCTTCAGCCATCACCTCTGAGTTCCAGGCTGGAAGAAGGAGGAGGGGAGGACCCCCATCTTCCACAAAAGTCCCCCCAATACTCTTTACAGAAATCTTATCAGAAATGTGTCACAAGCCCACCTCTATCCGTAAAGGAGAGAAAAATTAGTTTTATAGTAGGTGCATTATAACCACAAATAAAATGGGTGTCCTGTTGATTAAGCAGAAGAGAAGAACGGATGCAGGGGAGGAGCCTGGAGTCTTGCCCAGACTCATTCAGGGCCGGCGTGCCGTGAGTCATGAGCCTTGCACACCCCTTCACTCGCCCAACCACCTCCAGAGGGTTGCCACCCCCTGCCCCCCACCCTGCTCAGGGAACCTTGACCCACAGGAGACAGGAGTCCAGAGGGGACACAGGGTGAAGCCTCACTCCCTGCCCCCAGGGACTGTCCGACGGCTTCTCCTTGCACATCTTCCTGAGGCCTCGCACGCCAAGGGAGCAGTGCCACTGAGGGCCCCGCTTGTGGCAACAGTAACGTGTCACCTGACTCCTCACGCCATCTTCACCTCAGCTCCTGCACACAGCACCAGAAATACCAACTTTCCCACAGTCAGACCTCATGAGGGACATTACAGTGGACGGACTTCCAACAGCAGGTCAGAGGTGAGGAAGGCCACAGCTGATGCAGCCCCCCACAGCGAGGGCACCAAAGACCCTCCTCACCCCACCTCCTGTGTGCTCACGTCCGTCCCCTCCCAGCCCCTGGCAGCCCCTCATCAGCGCTTCCTTGCACAGTTGTGTCTTTCAAAAACATCATGTAAAAGGAATCCCACAGGCGTGACCTTTGAGGCTGGCTCCTTCACGCCGCATTGTGCCTTCGAGAGCCACTCAGGCTGCTGTGAGGATCAACGGCTCGCTCCTTTTTGTCGTTTGGTAGCTCCTGTCACGTGGACACGCCACATTTGTCGATCCATTCACTCCCCAAGGGACATCTGGGTTATTTCCAGTCATTAGTGATTGTGAATACATCTCCAGCAAATATCTGTGTACAGATTTCTGTGTGAACGTAAATTTCAATTCACTTGGGAGATGGGGGTGGCACTTCTGGGTCATGGGGTGACCGTGCACCTGTGAGAACTGGGCCACTGCTCCAGCGTGGAGTCCCTGCTTGTCCCCGCCCTCGGCGCCCTCGGGCCTCAGCGGGGTGTCGCCGTAGGTCTGACCAGCGCGGGGGCAGCCGCTCCGGTTTAATCAACGGCTACACTGCAAAGGTTCCCATGTGCCTGCCCACCGTAAGCGCCTCATCTTTGGTGAGGCGTCTGTTCAAGTGTTCCCTCTACTTTTTAACTGGGTTGTTTTCTGTTTGAGAGTTTTTTATATATTCTGGATTCAAGTCCCTTGTCAGATAAGCGATTTGCAAATACGTCTTCCAGTCTGTAGCCTGTCTTTCATTCTCTTAGTGTCTATCATAGAAAACAGTACTTAATTTTCATGAAATGCAATTTATCTAATTTTTTTTATGGGTGGCATGTGGTCATAGCTAAGAACTCTTTGTTTAGTCCAAGGTCATGAAAATATTCTACTTTTCTTCTAAGTGCTTTATAGTTTTACATTTTACATTTAGATCTATTCTGTTTTGTTTTTTTTAAACTATGCCTTGTGACTTACTTGTCCTGTTCTCATTATTAGGATGGGAGCGATGGTTTCTTGTGACTTTCTCTACAGGAATTGTCTGAGTCAACTCAGGCTAAGGAAGGCTGGGGGGAGGGGGGAGGAGCAGCCCGGGGTTGGAGGGTTGGGAACGCAGTAGCAGAGACAGCTCTCCTGGCGGGTGGCACTGGGCCCCCGCACCCCGGGAGCGCGGAGCAGCTGCAGCTGTGGTGTTTGCCCCCCGGAAGCCGCTGGCGGGAAGAGTTTCTAAGGAGCCAGGGAATCTCTTTAGGGGAACTCAGCACAGCCTGGGGGCACAAGGGGAAGGAGTGACCCAGCGGCAGCGGCCCCTGCGGGGTCTTCAGCCGGGGTCTGCTCGGACGGCCTGAATGGGGCCGTGTGTGTCGTGTCCTGTCAGCAATGTTCGCGGAGACTCTTCAGGGGAGTGACCACTGGTCCCTTTGACTGCAATGACAAGAGGCACAGATGCCTGCGGGGCCGGGCCACGTCTCTGCACCCCTCGGCCCCTTCTTCTCCACGGAAGACTGGGTCCCATCGGACACGGTTTCTTAGGGAAGCGCTGCTCAGCCTGAGCAGACTCCACTTTCCATGGCCCCCATGTTTTCTACAGATTGGTTTGCCTTTTTGTCTGAAGAAAATAGAAGTGACAAAACACACTCTCTTTCAATCAGTAGTGTTTATTGATACTAAGTCACTAAGTTTCAGGGTCCAGTAGCTGCGATTTGTTCTCATGGACGCCTTCAATGGTGGCCTCAAGGAGCTACCGTTAAGAGACAGAGACGGATGTGTCTGACACCTGGAGATTCTGCCAGCCCGGAAGGAGCAGTGTGAGCCTGAGTGGAGCTCCCGCCGACACCGAGGCACAACGGGATCCAGAGTGAGCATCTCTGAGGTCCGGGTCGGCTCCTCAGTGCAGAGTCGTGTCACGTCACTAAAGGACACATCAAAACTTAGCAAGTGCGCAGGGAGAGACAGCACCTCCAGGGCAGGAGCAGAAGGAAGTGGACTTTCGAAAGATCAGATATATCCCCACAGACACTAAGGGAACCAGGTCTTGTGGGGCGAGGGCGCCATTGGGAATCCTCTCACTCATTCATCACACATTTGACACATTTGTGAGCACCGGGTACGTCCAGGGCCACTCAGGTGCTGATGGTACCACAGCAAGCAAGATGAGGCCTGTGCTCCCCACATGTGCTGCTTAACCAGATGGAAGTTATGCCTCCTGGCATCAAATTTGTGCTGAATCACCGCCATGCATTTACACAGAGTGGCTTCTCACATCCAAGCCTGGCTCTAGGCGCCACGCCCCCTCAATCCATCCGCCCCTCCTCCCTCTGCCCCTCGTCCCATCTGCCCCTCCTCCCCTCTGACCCTCATTTCCGTCTGTCCCCTCATTTCCGTCTGTCCCCTCATTTCCCTCTGACCCTCATTTCCGTCTGTCCCCTCATTTCCATCTGTCCCCTGCCTCTCCTCCATGGCTCTCTGCATGTTCTGCCCCAGGAGGCAGACCCCTGGGCCACATCACTTGAGCTCTCTTTCTTTCTGGATTTCCCCTTTGGCTCAGCCAATGGAAGGCTCCAGAGGAGATGGGAGGGTGGGAGGAGAGAGAAGTCCTGAAGAGGGGTGTTCGCCAGCTCCCTCCCTCCCCCAGCCGTGGGGTGGCAGCAGCCCCACAGCTGCTAGTGCCCGGAGACTCCTGGTCCTGGGGGTCTGCCGCCCACTCTGCCTCTGCTGGCCCTCCAGGTGTGGCAGCACCTGTTTCCTGCTGGGCCCTGAGGGACTGCAAAGCCCACTCTGCCCAGGACCTGTGTCCCCCGGGGATGCCTCATCCCCATTTTCCCACTTTAGGAAATGGACACTGAGTCAGTCTGCAGAAGGCACATGGTGGCCTGTCCTGAAAGTTGACCCCCCAGGCTTCAGAGACACTGCCCCCTTTACTAGCTGCAGCGCCTCAGGCAGTTCATGGATTTTGTGAGACTCGCTCCTCCCTCGCGGCTGCGGAAGCGCCTCCAGCACAGCTGCGCCGGGACCCAGGGCCAGACTCACCAGGGGCAGGCACTGGACCAGGAGTCCGCTCTTGGGGATGCAGCGATGGGGGCTGACCTCGTTCAGCCTGATGCAGCACTGACTCTGGCACTCGCTGTGGTCGCTGCAGTACTCCCAGTTAGGCTGGGGAGACACGGAGGTCAGAGGTCGCCCCCAGCAGCCCGGAAGTCCTCCAGCAGAGCAGGCCCACCGCGCCCTCTGCCCTCACCTTGCGCAGCGGCAGGCACTGCAGGAAGACGGTCTTGGGCCTGCAGATCCTCTGCTTGTCCAGGCCGCCCATGAGGCAGCAGCTGCTCCGACACTCGTGGTAGTCCTTGCAGGTGTACCCGTTCGGCTGCCGGGAAAGGAGACCCCTGTCCTTTCTGCCCAGTCCCCCAGGGACCCGCCTGCCCAGAGGAGGTGGGAGCTCTGGCCAACAAGGCTGCCCTCCCTCCTCCTCACCCCTCACCCGCCCGTCACGGTGCACCTTTCTCCACGACAGGCACTGGAGGAAGATGGTCTGAGGGGTGCAGAAGCGCTGCGGGTTCAGGCTGTTCGTGGCGCAGCAGTGGCTCCGGCATTCCGAGTGCTGTTTGCAGGGCTCTCCGATCACCTGCAAAGTCAGGGCCTCGTCTGTGCCTCCGGGGTGGGGGCACTAAACCGAGCAGGTGCGGCTGCAGAACCAGCTTCCCTCGAGGGCTTCTCCCCTTCTCTGCTTCCCTGGGTCCTGCAAACTTCCCTTGCCTGGCAGGTTTTCTGCAACGTTCACAGACCACGGCGGGTCTGGAAGGCCAGGGGAGCCAGCAGAAAGGGAGCTAACAGTTGTCTGCGTCTGTTGTGAGACATGTCGACAGAAGGGTAAACTGAGGCACAGAGGATGAAGGAAGGTAGCAAGTGGCCAAGCAGAAGGACAGGAAGGAGAAGGCTGCATATGAAGCTTACAGACTCTCGCACGACATTTACACGTGAGAAACAGGCTCAGAGAGGGTGAGTAGCTTGCCTGGGGTCACAGATCCAACAAGGAGTCGGAACTGAGACTGAAGCTCTTCCACCGCCACCAGCCTCCCAGAGGCCACCAGAGTCACGTGACCTTTGAGCACGGTCCTCACACCTCTGGTCTCAGACTCCTTTACAAACTCACAAACCACCAAGGGCCTGGAAGAGCTGTTGCTGGTGTGGGTTATGGCTGACAACTTTCACCACAGTGGACACTAACGATGAGAGAGTTTTAAATATTTATGCGTTGATTTACTTAAAAATAATGAACCCATTCCATGTCAACATAAATAACAACTTTTCATGAAAAATAAGTACATTTTCCAAAACAAAAACGTGCTGAGCAGAGTAGCGCCATTTTGCATTTCTGGTGGCTCCTCCCACCTGGCCAGTTCACAGAGGCTGCCAGGTGTCCCTGCTCCCTGTGGAGGTGTCACATACCCTGTGGAGGTGTCCCTGCTCCCTGTGGAGGTGTCACAAACCCTGTGGGGGTGTCACATACCCTGTGGGGGTGTCACATACCCTACGGGCTCTGGGGAGAATGAGGGTGACCGGGCAAAACATGTCCCCTTGTTATTATGAAGACGTGTTGGTCTCAGGGACCCTCCAGAAGGGCTTGGGGACCCCGGTCCCAAGCATCCTGGGGGCTGCTGTTCAACAACAGAGACACACTGAAGGGTTTTCATCCAGGGAGACTTTTCATTCTGTTTGCTTTTTTTAAAGGTCTTGCTGGTAGACAGTGAAAGCTGAGACTGACGCTCGGAGGCTGGCGGCGGGAGCCTGGCTGGGCAGCTTGCAGGTGAGAGACAGGAGGACAGAGGAGGAGCTAACTTCTAGGGTGGGGCGCCGTCGGTCGTGGGAGCTTCGGGAGTGTCCCCTGGGTTCTGGGGGGACAGTTATGGAGAAAGGAAACAGGAGGGCCCTTGGGGGGCATAGGCCCAGGCAGCGCGTCTCCTGCGTCCTGGCTGTGTGCGCGCCACCGCCCCGGGGAGGAGTGGACGCGGTGGGACGTGCAGATTAGGGGTGCTGTGGGGACAGAAGGACAGACGCTCTCACGTTTTCACCGTCGCACTAGATCCGCTTGCGCACACCACTCCCTGTTGGACCCCTCGTGAGCCCTGCCCTGTCGCTCACCTCTGCCCTCTGTGCCCCGCCCCGGGGACCCTTGGCTCGCTGTGCCCCGTGCCGCAGGCCGGAGCCTGCTGCTGCCTGGCAACGTGGCCCACTGAGGCCTCGCTGGCCCGGCCTGTCTGGACCTGGACGTCAGTGTTTGGGTTCCAGGCGCGGGGACCCGCGTGTTTGGGGGAAACATGTGCTGCTCGCGGGCACCTCCTTTGTGGGGAGCCCGGGAGGAGCTGGGCACATGTAGGGGCAGCCAAGACAAGGGAGCCCAACTGAGGCTGAGGCAGGCCGAGCGCGGGGTGGCTGGGCACTTACCTTGTGCAACAGCAGCACGTTCTTCCTCTTGAACACCAAGAACTCGGCCAGCCCCAAGAGCAGCAGCAGCAGCAGCAGATGCTGGGAGCACGCCATCGGGTGGCAGGCCTGTCAATGCCCAGATGGCTGTGGAGCACCCTGTGCCCAGGGCGTCCCTGCCCCACGGCACCCATGTGGGTACCGCTCCCTTTCCCAATCTCTTTCTTCCAAAATGGATATTTTTAAAATTAATAATTATTTTAGAGAGCAGTTTTAGGTTTACAGAAAAGTTGTGCAGAAAGTACAGAGAGTTCCATATATCCCTTCTTCACCCACCTGCCTCAGTTTCCCCAGTTATTAACATCTTAGTTGGTGTGGGGCATTTGTTACAATTGATCAACTGATATTGATACATTGTCATAAACCAGAGTCCATGTTGATGCCAGGGCTCACTGTCGGTGTCGGACACTCTGTGGGTGTGGACAGTGGCCAGTGGCGTGTGTCCACCATGACAGCATTGTCCAGAGTGGCGTCACTGCGCTGGAAGCCCTCTCTGCTCCCCCTGCTCGTCCCCACAAGCCCCGGCAACCACGGATCCCTTTCCTGCCCCCATAGCTGTGCTTTTCCGGAATGTCACAGAGCTGGAATGACACAGTCGGGGCCTCCCCAGCCTGGCTCTGTCACTGAGTCATCTGCACTTGAGGTTCCTCCGCGTCTCCTTGTGGCTTCGTAGCTCATTGCTTTCTAGTGCTGAGTGGAAAATGGATTTTCAACAACCCTGTCTCCAGGGAGCGATTGCCCTTTATTAGTTTAAAGAGGAGCGTGTCTGCCATGCGAGAGCGCCCACAGGGCAGAGACGACCACCCTTCCTGCGGCCTGCTTCTCCCACATCTGCCTCAGTACCCCTGCAGAGAGGCCTCCCTGACCAGCCTGGCTCCTGTCTCCACCTCCCCACAGGCTCGGCAGGGCCAGCTGGCCCCCGACCTCGGCCTGGTGGAGCTGGTGGGGGGCCCTGCCCCAAGGCTTGGGCGGTGGGTGTGGAAGCGCCCTACAGCCACGGCCCCAGGTGCGTGGGACTCCCTCATTGCACATCCGGATGGGACGCCAGGAGGCCCAGAGTTGCCCTCAGATCTAAGCCTGGCTGTTCATAAAGCTGACGATTTGGCCTCCAATTTAGACCCTAAGTCTTTTATTTTTTAAATGGAGGTGATAGTCACATAACATAAAATTAACCATTTGAAAGTGAACAATTCAGAGACATTTAGTGCATTCTTAATGTTGTGCAACCACCCCGCAGTTCTGATACCCACCCTGGTATCAGTTTCCCCACATTAAACCCAGCATATATGGGGTTAAAACCAAAACACTCATTCTCTGCTTACTCTCTGGCTTCCTGGCTCCAGAATCCACTATCCTCCATGGAGACAGACACCGTCAAGGACAAGCACCTGGACTATCTCCTCCCGCAAAGAGATACGGGCTGGTGGGAAAGCTGCTGACCAGCAAGGTCATGGGCTCCCTCCTCTCTGCAGTGTCTCAAGGCAAAACACAAGCTGGTGGGAAAGCTCCGACCAGCAAGGCCATATGCTCCCCCTCCCCTACATAAAACCCCAAATAAAAACCCTTCCTTTTAGCTTTTCGGGGAGTTTGGGATTTGAGCGTTAGCTGCCCTCTCTCCTTGCTCAGCACTGTGCAATAATAAAATTCCTACTTTCTTCCACCACCCCCGGTGTCAGAGATTGGCTTGCTGTGCAATGGGTGAGCGAACTCACTTCAGGTTCGGTAACAGTTCTGTCTAGTTCCAGAACATTCCGTCACCCCACAGTACAACCAGGTGCCCATCAGCAGTCGCTCCCCATTCTTTCTGATGTCTTCCATTGGCCAGACCTGCGGGGGGCAGGTGGGATCCCCACATGCTCTGCGGGGCAGCATGTGGGGGCCCCTGGGCCAGGAGAGGGCGAGGGGGTGTGAGCGGGTGCACCCTGCTGGGGTGGCCACACTCTGCGTCTCCAGCCCTGAGCCGTGAGCCCCGGCACCCTGCATTTCTTGCCCTGCTCCTTGGGGGTCCCCTGGCCACTCTCACTTGTCTCCCTCCCATGTTCCAGAATCTCTTCTCGCATTTGTCCCTCTGCCGGCCTTGGCAGTGTGCCCCCCGGGGCCCACCAGCTCTAGACCCCACAGTGTGAGGACGAGCGCTCAGGGCCCCCGGTCCTCGGGGCAAGCCCTTGCTGGGCTGGGCTGGGCTGCTCTGTTTGCTTGGCTGGGACGGGACAAGGCGGGGAGGCGGGGGAGATTTTCTGGGGACTGTTTCCCTGCCCGTGAGGTAGGGGGCTCCTGCCATTCCCCATCGACGTCCCCTTGGACCCTGGTTTTCAGACCATTCCAGTGAAGCCCTACTGGTCTTGTCCCCTTTGTTCTTTGTCGCGGTCATTTGTGTTGCGAAGCACAGTGGAGTCCTGTTTTTAAGCTCCCCAGACTGTTGAGGTCAGGGGCCCAGGAACAGGCTGACTCCCAAGACGAGTCCTCCCCGCCTTCTTGCTTCACCTTCCCCGCCTCTGGCTGCCTTCTCTGGGCTGGCCCATGCTGGGCCCAGAAACCCGAGTCTTCCCGAGGGAGGGAGACAGAAACACAGCGACCTGCGACCTGCGAGCTGGGAGGACGGGTCCCTCCTGGGAGCTAGGGGGGTTGGGGGGGGGGAAAGACCGAGGGGGCAGCACCGGCCGAGCTCTGGGGCAGAGCAGGCGCCTCTGCAGCTCAGACGCCGGGCCGTCTGAGAGACGGTGCCCTCTGCCCCAGGCCCACCTAGATGGGGGCAGATTTAGTCGTGGGGAGGCCCCTGAGCCAAAGTAGGGTCTGGGGAGAGGGAGGCACCGGCAGGGGGGCAGGAGGCAGGAGGACTCAGTTTATTTCCTGCACTTCTCTCCTCGCACAGGTGCACTTGCCTCTACATGACCAAGCCTGGCCTTTTCTCCAGAGCACCTACGGCATTTGTCAGCGTGGATTCATTTGGCTCCTGCACAAATATCCAGAAATTACCCCCTGCCAACATGAAATGCCTCCCATAAGGACAGAATTCAGCAACACAAAACATCTCAGAAAGGCAAAAGGAGGTCAGCATCGCTTATAGTTTTCTAAACAAAAACAGCAAGTTGCAGGACACCTTGCCCTTCCGAGCTTTGGGTTTTCTGTAATTTTAGACTTCTACTTTTCGACAACAAATTGCAGCTCATAAGCAACAAAAGCATTGCTAGAGCATTTCACTCTAAAGTTTTGCTAACTGATTTCAAAAGAGACACAATAACGGGAACTCAGAGCCCTGTTTTGATCTGCTGTCACCAAAAATGATACAGACATGGAGAAAAGAGAGTGATGGAAGCCTGCTGGACTCAGCAAAACAATGCCACGCCTCTTTAAAATTTTACCTTTGATAAAGCACTCCAAAGTCTACTTCAGTGTGTGTATAACAGTGTTTTAAGAGGCACCTTGCAAAGTTGGGACTCCCATTTAATGTGTGTGCGTGTCCCACGCTAGCAGACATCCACGCGTGAGTCTGTGGGTTTTTCTACACGCTGAGAGCAAAGCAGACGGTGACTGTGAACCAGGCCTTCTGGGGCAGCCTGGGGTCGGCCACTGGTCAGCGGTGCTGTTCCAGGGGCCTCACAGCAGGTGCCCACCTGGTGGTCCCTGGCCCGCACTTGGCAGGCCCCCGGCCTCGTGGCCAGGCTGCTGTCCGCAGCAGCCAGAAAGGCTCCTCGGAGGTCACCAAGTATCTCCATGGTGGAACCCAAGACACGCCTTTTAGTCTTGGGAGATGGAATATACAGACAACGGCCAGACCATCTGTAAAAGTGGAGCCCTGACCCACAGCTGGGAGCAGCCAACCCGGGAGGCCAAATGTGCCCCCTAAGAATCACATGGGACACCTGTGTCAGCCTGCCAGGGCTGTGTAACAAACACCACAGGCTGGGCAGCTTAAACAACAGACAACTATTCCTCACAGTCTGGAGGCCAGAAGTCTGAGACCCAGGTCTGGGGAGCTGGCTCCTCCTGAGGCCTCTCCCTTTGGTGTGTAGACGGCCGTCTCCTCCCTCTGTCTTCACATGGCCATCCCTTTGTGCATGTCTGTGTCCTCATCTCTTCTTTTTTTCTTTTTGCTTGAAGAAGATTCGGCCTGAGCTATCACCTGTGCCAGTCTTCCTCTATTTTGTATGTGGGTCACCACCACAGCATGGCCACTGATGGTGGCGTAGGTCCATGCCCTGGAACTGACCCTGGGCCAGCGAAACAGAGCATGCTGAACTCAACCACCAGGCCGTGGGGCCGGCCCCTCATGTCCTCTTCTTATAAGGCCACCAGTCAGATTAGATTAGTGAGCCTGTCTTACCCTAATTCCTTCTGCAAAGGCCTATCTCCAAATACAGTCACCTCCTGAGGCCCTGGGGGTAAGGACTTCCACGTAAGGATTTGAGGGGGACACAACTCAGCCCATAACAACACCCCATGTCTAGTTAGACGCCCCGCCTTGCCCGCCAAAACCTTTCCCTCGGGCCACTTGAGCCGACCTTTTCCACTGTTGGTATCCCCACCTGCCCACCTGTGGGTCTGAGTGCAGTGACGGGCCAACTCCTGAGCTGTGGAAAGTTCTGGAGAAGCCACTGCTTGTTGCGGGCTGGGCTTCCTCCTTCACGTTGTGCTGACCACTGCCCTTTCTAGTTTCCTGCTGATCTGCAAGCTCCACGAGCTAAGGAGGGAGGGAAGGAGGGCACAGGGTCTCAATTTTACTTCCTCACAGCAGGTCAAGGTCTCTGAGGCCCCAATCACATGATTTTAGAGAAATGACACCAGACAATCGAGTCACATAAACATTTTCCAAGACAAATGCACAAACCAATAGCCACTGTATGAACTTTGTAAGAACTGTTTCCATATCATATCAGGCCTGTCAAATATAATTATTATATTATAACTACGTAAAAGCTGAATTTGAATCACAAACTTCAAACTTGCAGTGTTCTTTTTGGACTTTAAACCAGGAAAAAATGTTTTCTGGTCTCAAACCTTTTCTTAGGCCCTTGAAAAGTTCACTGGCCCAGTTTACAAACTCGGACATGATGTGTCTGATCAGTCAGACAGCCCACACCACACAGGAACACACTGCACCCACACACAGAAAGTCCGGTTTATGAAAGGTCACAGCAACTGCTCACAGCGGCAGCATTCACAATAGCCAGGAGGTGGAAGCAACCCAAGTGTCTAACTGACGAGTGGATAAGCAAAATGTGGTCCATCTACACAATGGAATATGATTCACCTTAAAAAGGAAGGACATTTGACACATGCTACCACAGGACGGACCTTGAGGACATTATGCTGAGTGGAATAAGCCGGAAACGAAAGGACAAGTACTGTGTGATTCCACTTCTGTGAGGTCCAATGGGGACAGAGTGTCAGTTTGGGAAGATGAAGAGTTCTGGAGATGGATGGTGGTGATGGCTGCATGACAACGTGAATGTACCTAATGCCACTGAACTGGACGCATAAACACGTTTCGGGTGGTAAATTTCACGCTGGGTGCGTTTTACGCAGGCGCTTCTTGCAGGCCCTGGAGGCGGGGTTGTTTCTGAACCTGAAGAACAGCACGTCTCAGGCTAGTGATGTTGAAATAGTCCTCTGTACTTGAGCCTCTTTTCTTCCATATTTGTTTATAAATCTCTCAGATCAGACATCTTTCCAGAGTTTTTCCTTCTAAACATCAAGGTCAGGTATGATTCCACAGTATCTCAATCTGCCAAAAAGCTTGATGCCAAATCTTGCAAAAACATGACAAATTATTGTTATTCCCTACACCATAGCTACCACACTTTCAGCACAAACCCCTCATGTTGGTGCCACCCCCATCCTGCCTCCTTCATTGCCTACAGCACTGCCCCCTCAAGGGCGCACCCCTGTGGAGGGTGCTCCGTCCCGCAGGCAGCCTCTGCCTGACTCACAGAAAAACAAAACCTGTGAGTAAACGGGAGCCTGGACATTCCTTGCAGAAAAACTCCCCCAGTAGTTGATAATTGCTTAAGTGCTCAGAGGTCCTACCTTTTTATCCTGGGTCCCACCTGCTCCTCTGTAGACGTGAGACCAGCCAGGCTGTAATTCCAGAAGAGACTCCAACCCCCAAAGTGGAGGATCACACAGGAGCCAGGTTCCAGGGAGCCAGGTGAAGCTGCAGACTCACTGGAGCGTCTCCTGACTGCTCCTCCTCCTTCCTGCCCCAGCCTTCTGCCCTTGAGGAAGTCTGTCATCCTTCCGCGTGAGAGACTGAATGTACTGTGGGCAATGGCTGAGCCACATATGACAGTGGGACTCCCTCCAGCCCACATAAGAGCCCCGGGAGCCAGCCACAGCACTCGGCCCAGTGGTCAGTGACCACAGCCTCCCTGGATTGCCCCATTACAACCCAGGACCAGCCCGAGAGGCCACATATGCCCCCTGATCAATCACATGGGATCCCTCCACCTGGTTAGCAGACCCCGCTTCCCCCTCAACACCCCCCTCAGGCACCTGGAGCAGCCGCTTTCCACTATCCACGTCCGCTCCTGGCTGCCTGTGGGTCTGATCAAGTTTGGAGGCTGACTCCCTGGCTCTGGATAAATAGCCTATGTGTCCTCACTGCAGTGATCTGTTCTCCTTGAGGGGGTCTGTTCTCATTGAGGTGGTCTGTCCTCATTGAGGCAGCGTGTTCTCGTTGGGGGGATGTGTTCTCAATGGGGCAGCATGCTTTAATTGGAGTGATGTATTCTCATTAGGGTGGTCTTCGTTTACTTCTGCACAGCTTGTTCATTCAATAAACATTCACTGATTTATTTATCGTTGACTTTGTCCCAGGCATTGAGCTGGGCTCTGTGGAGGAAAAGATGGTGTGTCGCTTGTCACCTAGGAGTTCTTGGTCTAGGCTGGGAGATGGACCCATCAACAAGTAGATGGCGTAGAGTGTGGTAGACACCATGAGGACCGGGGTGGAGACCCTGGGAGGGAGGACCTGGATCAGCGAGGAGAGGACGTGCTGCACCGTGAAGAGGAGTCCGGGTTCTGCAGGTGAGGTGAGGGAGGAGAGATCTCCGGGCAGAGGGAGAGGGTGAAGTTGGGAGGAGGGCACCGACCGGGTGTTGGGGAGCTGGTGGGAGGGGTCAGAGCCTGGAGAGCTGGGAGCCAAATCCAAGCTCTCAGGGGCAGGAAGGGTTTTAGGCATGGGTAAGCCAAGCCCCGTGAGTGTTTGAGAATGCTCCGGGCACGAGGTGCGATGGGATGAGAGGCTGGAGCTGCTGAGTCAAGGTGTTGCAGGCGGGGATGGGAGCAGAGAAGCAGATGCCTGGGAGGAGAATGAGGTTCAGTGTTGACTGGATGTGGGAGGCCAGGGAGTGAAGACTCCAGAACGACTGCCAGGCTCTGGTGACTGGGGAGAGAGTGGTTTGGTTTAGCACAGCCTTTCAGTTGTCGGCCCCAAAACTCAGCAGCCTGAAAGGACATTTAGTTATGATCTCTCAGGTCCTGTGGTTTGACTGGGCTCAGAGGGGCAGTTTTCACTCAGAGTCACTCAGCAAGGGCTGTCAGATGGTGGTTGGGCTGCCGAAAGTTGCCATTAGGTGGGCTGTCAACTGGGCTGAGGGTCCAAGACAGCTCCTTCACCACGCATCCTCCGCCAGGGATGGCTGGGACGGCTGGAGCGCAGCCTCTCTCCCCACACGGCTTCCTCACAGCACAGCAGCCTTGGGGTGGCTGACGCCCCTCCTCAGGTCTGGCTGCCCCCACAGGTGTTCCAGAGTCCTGGGGGGTCTGAGAGGCTCTGTGGCCTAGCCCAGGAGTGGGGCAGCACCATTCCACTGCATCACCAGGGAGGAGTCTCTGAGGCAGCTGGGGTCAGTGTGCGGGGGGAGGAGGCGGAAGACCAAGAGTCATCTGAGCTGTGGCGTTGGGTTTGAGAGCCATCCACTGAAACCAGAGGAGCAGGACAGACGGATGCTTGTGCTCAGGGAGAGCAGGCAGGGGGAGGAGCGCCGGGGAGGCTGGGAGCACGTGTGAGGTTTCTTCTAGGGGTGATGAAAATGTTCTAAAATTAGACCGAGGTGATGTTTGCACAACCCTGTGAATATGCTAAAAACAATTAATTGCATGCTCTAAATGAGTGATTTGTATGGCATGTGAATTTTATCTCAATAAAGCTGTTTCAAACAGGAAACCTATTTGAACTTTTACTTGTAACTTGGTTGTTTTACATTGTTATTTATAGATACATTTTTTATTCTATTCTCAGCAGAGAGTAATATTTCCTTTGAACCAAAGGTTTTAGAATTCAGTTGAATAACTTAATTTTTTCACTTGTAAAATACCTTAAGTAAAAAACCATTATGAGATTCAGTCCTGCTAAGACTAATTTCCTTAACCTATTTAAATGTATTTACACAAATTTTACACAGATTTTAATTGACACTTTAGCTGTCAGCACAAATTCTGTGGCTGGGCACTCCCCTTCTCCCAGCCTAGAGAGTTCGCATCAGGAGCTTTCCCTTGATTCCTTCATTTTCCTTCCAGCAGGCTTCGAGACACCTTCTCTGACCTTCACAATAAGCGTTTGGGGTCTCCCAAACCAGTCAGACACACACTCCACACTGAATTTGAGAGATCCGGAGTCCCAGGATGGACCCCCATAATGCACGCTGCCTCCCCAGACACTCAAGATCCCCTTGGCATCCAACGTATACTCCCATGGACACAGGGCAGAAGACTCACCCCAAACAATAAAAGAAATAAAAGAGAAATAAATATAAAAATAATATGTATAAAAATACATAAAATATATATATTTTATATAAAATATAAAATATTCCATATAAATACATAAAATATATATTATTTGTGTATAAAATATAAAACATATAAAAATAAAATAAAATAAAATAAATCATTAAATTCTTGGACAAACCTGAGACTACACGGCATACCTTTTCTTCTGAGAAAAGATAATGAAAACACTCCAAGTCTGCACAGACAACAGCCCTGCTCACAGGGCAGGGCTTCCCCACAGGAGGAAAGTAACCTGCAGTGTGGACAAATGCTCCCGGTTGGTGTGGGTTTCTCTTCACTGGAATTCAGATATTTCACCCAGACTTTTAGGTGTGTACCTTTCCTTTTCTTTTTTTTTTTTTTTAAAGATTGGCACCTGAGCTAACAACTGTTGCCAATCTTCTTCTTATTTTTTTTTCTTGTTTTTTCTCCCCAAATCCCACCAGCACACAGTTGTATATTTTTAGTTGTGGGTCCTTCTAGTTGTGGCATGTGGGACGCCACCTCAACATGGCTTGATGAGCAGTGCCACGTCAGCACCCAGGATCCAAACCAGCAAAACCCTGGGCCGCTGAAGTGGAGCGCGTGAACTTAACCACCCGGCCACGGGGCCAGCCCCCCGTGTGTACCTTTTCTTAAAGTCATCCTGCCAGGACCCCAACAAGTCACACCAACCTACAGATGCAAGTCTTGTTCAAATCAGACAATTTCTTCCAATTATTCCTCCCAGCTCCCCTGCTCACCTTCTTTGTTGACCCTGTGACTCAGGCCAGGGTCTGCCCTCTGCATCACTGCTTCTCCCTCACGCCCCCAGCTCTGTGTTCTGCTCTGAGTCGCACAGTGTTCCCTCCATTTGGTCTTACGGATGAGCACATTCCCTTCCAGTTTATCTAACAGAATCACAATTTGGGCCCCAGAAGATTTTTTAATGCTCTAACCACAACCCCTGCAAGTCCTCATTGCCTTTTTGCAAAACTGATCCTTTTGTTAATGTTGAGTATATTTCATGTACTTACTGGCCATTTGTATATCTTCTTTGAAAAAAATTCTATTCAGATCCTTTGCCCGTTTTTTAAATTGTTTTTTGGTCATTTTATTGTTGAGTTGTAAGAGTTTTTTAAATACAAGTCCCTTATCATATATACGATTTGCCAGTATTTTCTCCCATTCTGTGGGCTGTCTTTTCACTTCCTTGATGGTGACCTTTGACATGCAGAAGCTTTAAATTTTGGTGAAGTCCAATTTATCTATGTTTTCTTTTTTTGCTTATACTTTTGTTGTCATCTAAAAAAATCCATTGCCAGGGGCTGGCCCCGTGGCCGAGTGGTTAAGTTCGCGCGCTCCGCTGCAGGCGGCCCAGTGTTTCGTTAGTTCGAATCCTGGGCGCGGACATGGCACTGCTCATCAAACCACGCTGAGGCAGCGTCCCACCTGCCACAACTGGAAGGACCCACAACGAAGAATACACAACTATGTACCGGAGGGCTTTGGGGAGAAAAAGGAAAAAATAAAATCTTTAAAAAAAAAAAAAAAATCCATTGCCAAATCTAAGGCCACAAATATTTACTTCTATGTTTTATTCTACGAGTTTATGGTTTTAGCCGTTAGATTTAGGTCTTTGGTGCATTTCGAATTAATTTTTGTGTGTGGCGTGAAGTAGGGTCCAACTTCATCCTCTTGCATGTGGATGCACAGTCGTCCCAGCACCATTTGTTGAAATACTACTCTTTCCCCATTGAATCATTTTAGTACCATTCTCAAAAATCAATTACTTTTATTGTATTTTACATATTTATATTTTATTTCTATCCTTATGCCAGTAAATGGGAGCAGAATTACTGGGTCCTGCGGTAACTGTGTAGCTTTGTGGCAGGGCTCGAATTTGGGAAGTGTGAGTCCTCCAGATTTGCTTTTCTTTTTCAAGATTGTTTTGGCTACTCAGAGTCCCTTGCATTTCCGTATGAATTTTAGGATCAGCTTATCTATTTCTGCAAAGAAGCCACCTAAGATTTTGATAAGAGTTGTCCCGAGGCTGTAGATAAATTTGGAAAGGATTGCTATTTTAACAACGTTAAGCCTTCCAATCTATAAACACGGAATGTCTTCCCATTTACTAATATCTTCTTTAATTAAAAACATGCTTTATATATTTCAGAGTACAAGATGTACACTACTTTTGTTAAATTTATTCGTAAGTATTTTACTCTTTTGGATACTATTGTAAATGGAATTGTTTTCTTAATTTTTCAGATTGTTCATTGCAAGCCTTGTAAATATAACTGATTTTTGCATATTGATCTTGTATCCTACAAACTTGCTGAACTTGTTTACTAGTTCTAATAGTTTTTAATGGATTCCTTAGGATTTTCTATCTACAATATCCTTTTATCTGCAGACAGAGATAGTTTTATTTCTTTCTTTCCAATTTTTTCCAGTTTCCTGCTATTTTCCTTGGCTAGAACCTCCAGAACAATGTTGAAAAGAAGCGACAAGAGGCCATCCTTGTCTTATTCCTGATCTTAGGGAGAAAGCACTCATGTTTGTCACCATTAGGAATGATGTAAGCTGTGGGTGTTTCGTAGATGCTCTTTCCCAGGTTAAGAAAGTTCCTTTCTATTCCCAGTTTGTTGAGTGTTTTTATCATGAAAGGGTGTTGGATTTTGTCAAATTCTTTTTCTGAATCTACTGAGATGATCACGCAGTTTTTATCCTTTATTTTGTTAATATGGTATTTGACACTATTAATTTTGGGATATTAAATTAAGCTTTTGGTCTGCTAATATTTTGTTGAGAATTTTGGCATCTATGTTTATAGGGAATATTGGTCTGTTCTTGTGATGTCTTTGTTTTCTGTTTTCTCCCAGGGTAATACTAACTTCATAGAATGAGTTGGGATGTGTTCCCTCCTCTTCTAACTTTTAAAAGTTAACATTTAAAGAAGAATTAACACCAATCCTTCTCAAATTCTTCCAAAGAAATTGAGGAGGAAGGAACTCATTCTAACTCATTCTCTGAGGCCAGGATTCTCCTGATAGCAAAGCCAAACAAAGACCCCACAAGAAAAGAAAACTGCAGTCCAATATCCCTTATGAATATAGATGCAAAAATGCTCAATATTAGAAACTAAATCCAATAGCATATTAAAAACATCATACATCATGACCAAGTTGGAATTATTCCAAGAATGAAAGGGTGGTTCAATAATGAAAATCAAACAATGCAAGACACCACATTAATAGAATGAAGGTTAAAAAAATGCATGATTATCTCAACTGATGCAGACATTTTTTTTGACAAAATGCAAGACCCTTTCATGATAACACTTAGAAAAGTAGGAAAAGATAGGAACTTCTTCAACAAGATAAAGGAAATTTATAAAAAAGTCACAGCTAACATCATACTCAATGATGAAAGATTGAAAGCTTTCCCCTCAGATCAGAAATACGACAAAGATGACTGCTTTCCCCACTGCCATCCAACATCGTACTGAAATTTCTAGCCAGGACAATCAGGCAGAAAAAGAAGTAAAAGGCATCCAAATCAGAAAGTAAAAAATAAAATTGTTTCTGTTTGCAGATGACAGGATCTTAAATATAGAAAACCCCAAGGAATCCACAAGAAAACTACTAGCTAATAAATGAATTCAGCAAAGCAGTAGGGTGGAAGATCAATCCACAAAAATCAGTTGCAATTCTATACCCCTCAATGAACAATCAGAAAATGAAATTAAGAAAAATAATTCTCTTGTGCCGGCCTGGTGGCGCAGTGCTTAAGTGCGCACGTTCCACTTCAGCGGCCTGGGGTTCATGGGTTCAGATCCCGGGTGCGGACGTGGCACCACTTGGCAATCCATGCTGTGGTAGGTGTCTCAAATATAAAGTGGAGGAAGATGGGCACGGATGTTAGCTCAGGGTCAGTCTTCCTTAGCAAAAAGAGGAGGATTGGCAGCAGATGTTAGCTCAGGGCTAATCTTCCTCAAAAAGAAAAAAAAATTAATTAATTAATTATTATTTTTAAAAAGGAAAAAAAAATAAAATAATTCTCTGTACGACAGTATCCAAAAGAATAAAATACCTAGGAACAGATTTAACTAAGGAGGAGAAAGAGTTGTATACTAAAAGTGACAAAACATTGCTGAAAGAAATTAAAGAAGATGTAAATAAACTGAATGGCATCCCATGTCCGTGGATTGGAAGCTTTAATATTGCTAAGATGGCAATTCCACCAAAGGAGACTACAGATTCAGTGCACTCTCCACCAAAATTCCAATGGCCTTTTCTGCAGAAATGATAATGCTGACCTTTAAATCCACTTGGAATTGCAGGGAGCACTGATTAACCAAAACAGTACTGAAAAAGAAGAACAAAGTTGGAAGACTCACATGTCCCAATTTCAAAGCTTTCTACAAATCTACAGTTACCAAAACAGTCATGCCGGCATAAGGGTATACACATAGAACAGTGGAATAGAACAGAAAGTCCAGAAATAAACTCTATGTCTATGGCCAATTAATTTTCAACATGGGTGACAGACGCTTCAATGGGTAAAGAATAGTTTCTTCAAGAAATGGTGCTGGGACAACTGGATATTCTCATGCAAAAGAATAAAGTTGGACCCCTACCTCATACCACATGCAAAATTAACTCAAAATGGATCAACAATCTAAATATAACAGCTATGGGGCCGGCCCCATGGCTGAGTGGTTAAGTTCGTGCGCTCTGCGGCAGCGGCCCAGGGTTTCGCTGGTTTGGATCCTGGGCGCGGACATGGCACCACTCACCAGGCCACGCTGAGGTGGTGTCCTACATGCCACAACTAGAAGGACCCACCGCTTTGGGGAGAAAAAGGAAAAATAAAATCTTTAAATATAACAGCTAAAACCATTACTCTTAGAAGAACACAGGGGTAAATCTTCATGACCTTGAATTTGTCAATGGATTCTTAGAAATGACACCAAAAGCACAAACAACAAAAGAAAAAAATAAACTGAACTTCATCAAAATTAAAAACTTTTGTGCATCAAAAGATATTATTAAGAAAGTGAAAAGACAACCTACAATGGGAAAAATGTTTGCAAATCATATATCTGATAAGGGTCTAATATTCAAAATATATACAGAATTCTTACAACTGAACCACAAAAAGACAAATAACCTAATTTAAAAATGAGTGAATAGACATTTACCCAAAGAAATTATTTATTCTCTTACATCCACTAAGATGGCAATAACCAAATGAGTGGAAAATAACATGTGTTGCCAAGGATATATAGAAACTGGAACCCTTGTACGTTGCTGATTGGGATGTAAAATGGTTCAGCTGCTTGGAAAACAGTTGGGCAGTTCCTCAAACAGTTAAACAGAATTACCATACGACCCAGAAACTCCACTCCTAGGCATATACCCCAAAGGATTGAAACAGGTGTTCAAACAAATACTTGTACACAAATGTTTATAGCAGCACTAGTCAAATAGCCAATAGGCGGAAATAATCCAAATGTCTATCAACAATGAATAAATTGTGGAATATCTATACAATGGAATATTATTCTGCCATAAAAAGGAATAAAGTACTGACACATGCTACAACTGGGATGGACCTTGAAAACATTATGCAACTGAAAGAAGCCAGACACAAAATGACAAATATTGTATGATTCCATTATATGAAATATCCAAAATAGATACATCCATAGAGACAGAAAGTAGATTGGTGGTTGCCAGTGTATGAAAGGAAGGGGGATGGGGGAATGATGCTTATTGGGTATAGAGTTTTATTTGGGGATGATGAAAATGTTTTGGAAGTAGATAATGGTGGTTGCGCTACATTGTCAATGTACCAAATTTCACTGAATTGTTCACTCAACAATTGTTCGTTAAAATGGTTATTAGATGCTATGTGAATTTCACCTAAAAAAAGTCTAAAAAATTTATCGTTTTGTGAAATACTATGACGTCTGGGATTTGCTGCAAAATAATGAGGTGGGGCTGGAGATATAAAAAGTTTTTTTTTTAAAAAGCAATCTTCATGGGGCCGGTCCCACGGCCGAGAGGTTAAGTTTGCACGCTCTGCCTCGGTGGCCCAGGGTTTCGCTGGTTCGAATTCTGGGCGCGGACATGGCACCGCTCATCAAGCCACGCTGAGGCCACGTCCCACATGCCACAGCTGGAAGGACCCACAACTAAAAGTACATAACTATGTACTGGGGGCTTTGGGGAGAAAAAGGAAAAAATAAAATCTTTTAAAAAACAAAAAACAATCTTCAGGTGGCAAAGAAAAATGAAACAGGTGGAAGTGGATAAAAGCATAGAGCTGGGAGCCACTGCCGAAGTCCTGGGAGAGGAAGGCGCAGAGCCGAGCGGCTCCGACGTGTCTGGATGAAAACAGGAGGCCCGTCTGGGCAAAGAAAGGGTCCTGGGTTTTGTCGGAACCCGGGGCAGGGGTGCCTTTGCTGAGCTTTGGCGAACGGCGGGCAGGAGTCAAGGACGGCCCCTCGGAAGTCATCCCATACACTTTAAACTCACACAGTTACAAGTCGATTGTATCTCAACAAAGCTGGAAAAAACATCCAAATAGAATCGCCCTTCGGGTTAGCGCGCGCCGCCCATCAGACACCCGTAGCGACGCCGAGGTGGCCGGCGCTGGGCCGCGTCTTCCTCCCGCATTTTAAGGAAGCGCGCCCTCGCCGCACCTCGCCCGGACTCACGGTGTCCTCCCCCGGGGACGCGCGGGCCTCGGTCCCTCCTCACGCCCCCCGGAGCAGCATCCCGGCGCTCGGGGCCCCACCTGACGACACCTGCCAGGTGCGCTGGGTGTCCTCGCCTTGCACCCCCGCGCGCCGGGGACCCGACCTGGGGGGGACGCACTCGAGGCGGGGCGGGGCGGGGCGGGGCGCGCGAGGCCACGCCCGTGGAGGCGGCGCCCCGGAGCCCCCCGCCAGCCCCCAGGCCGTGGGTCCTGCCGCGGCCCGGCCCTCCCGAGTTCCGCGCGGCGGGGCCATGGCGGCCGCGCAGCCCAAGCCCACCGCGGGGACGGCCCGGCGCCTGGCCCGGGGCTGCTGGTCCGCGTTCTGGGACTACGAGACGCCCAAGGTGATCGTGGTGAAGAACCGGCGCCTCGGCGTCGTGTACCGCGCCGTGCAGCTGCTCATCCTGCTCTACTTCGTGTGGTGGGCGCGCGGGCCGGGGGTGCCGGGGGCCCCGCCGGAGGGGCGCGGGAGGGGCGCGCACGGTGCCCGCGGGGAGGGGGCGGCTCTGGGCTGGGGCCGAAAAGAATCTAGCGGCCGCCGGGGCTCAGGGGGCCGAGAACGCGGGGTCGCCCAGAGCCGCCCGGGCCGCCGAGAGGCGGTGACGCAGCCCCGGCCCCGCCGAGCCGTCCCGGGGTCTCCCCAGAGCCGGCGCTGCCCGCCCCACAGGTACGTGTTCATCGTGCAGAAGGGCTACCAGGACAGCGAGACGGGCCCCGAAAGCTCCGTCATCACCAAGGTGAAGGGCATCACCTCGTCCGAGCACAAAGTGTGGGACGTGGAGGAGTACGTGAAGCCCCCCGAGGTGCGCCCACGCCCCGCTCTCCCAGGGTGGGACGGAGGGGGGCCGAGCTGTCCCCGCCGGCCGACCGTCCCCTCTTTCTGGGCCCAGGGGGGCAGCGTGTTCAGCATCATCACCAGGATCGAGGTCACCCGCTTGCAGACGCTCGGAACCTGCCCGGAGGTGAGGCGGGTCCGAGGCAGAGCTGGGCTGGAGGGAGGGTCCTGCCTGGTGGGCTGCGCGGCCCGAGCTGTGCTTGGAGCAAAGTGTGGGCCCTGACCGAGCTCTCTCCTCCCTAGAGTATGAGAGTCAACAACGCCACCTGCGACTCGGATGAAGACTGCGTGGCTGGACAGCTGGACATGCTAGGAAATGGTCAGTGTATGCCAGCGGCGGGGGGTGGGGGGCCGAGCGAGCCCGGGGGTGCCTCACACCTGAGCGGTGTCCACTGCAGGCGTGCGGACTGGGCGCTGCGTCCCCTACTACCACGGGGCCTCCCAGACCTGTGAGGTGTCCGCCTGGTGCCCGGTGGAAGATGGGGCCTCTGTCAGGTGTGCGCGCCCAGTGCCCCCGACCCCACCTGGGACCCAGCTTCCACCCCAGCGCGAGTCTGCCTTGTTCCTTTCTGCTTATTGACCACAGCCGGCCGGGGCTGCTGGGAGTGGGGGTGGAGTGGGGATGGGAGCAGTGCAGGGCGAGGGGAGACTAAACACCCGGTCTGTGCCTCCTCAGCCAATTCCTCGGTAAGATGGCCCCAAATTTCACCATCCTCATCAAGAACAGCATCCACTACCCCAAATTCCAGTTCTCTAAGTAAGAGCCAGCAGGAGGTGGTGATGGGTCAGGCTGGGAATGGGAGCTCCTCCTGGGAATGCACTGTTGAGAGGGGATGCAGCTTCTGCCCCCTCCCCACCTGATGCTGCTGGGCCCTATCCTTAGGGGCAACATTGAGAACCGGAAGGATGGCTACCTGAAACGCTGCACATTCCATGAGGTCTCGGATCTCTACTGCCCCATTTTCAAGCTGGGCTTCATAGTGGAGCAGGCAGGGGAAAACTTCACGGAGCTGGCACACACGGTGAGGGGGCGGTGAGGGAGAGGGAGGGAGAGCTCTCCTTCCAGTCCTGGCTCCTACCTTCACACCCTACTTGCACAGCCGAGTCCCTTTGCAGTCTTGGCCAGCCCTGGACCTGCTTGGGCACAGGAAGAGAAACATGACCGGCCAACCCATGTGGGTGTGCATGGCTCCTACTAAATTATTGACTCCTGGTCACATGGCTGGCCACTAGCATCCCCTTATACTTTGGAAGGGGGACATTCACCAAGTCCCGCTGGCTCTCGGCCCTGAGCTGCCCCGGGTATCCTAACCACACCCCACGCACAGCCTCAGGGTGGCCCCCAAGGCTATTAAGGGTCTTCTGTGTGCCCTCCCTGACCAGTCTGTGTCCACTTCTGGGCAGGGTGGCGTCATTGGGGTCATTATCAACTGGGACTGTGACCTGGACCTTTCGCCACTGAAGTGCAACCCCAAGTACTCCTTTCGGAGGCTCGACCCCAAGCATATCCCAGCCTCATCTGGCTACAACTTCAGGTACCTTGGCCTTGGGACGCCTGAGTCCTTGTCTGCCGGGGTTGTGGCAGCTCCAGGAGCTCACAGGGCAGAAGGCCAAAGGCAAAGGTGCCAGCCGTCAGTGGAGTCTTGGAGCTGCCCCCCTTGGGCGACGGGTGGCCATACTCCTCAGGGTCGGGCAGCCAGGGCTCCGGCATCGGGTCATTCCGCCCCAGGTTTGCCAAGTATTACAAGGTAAACGGCAGCACTGCCCGCACACTCATCAAAGCCTATGGGATCCGCATCGACGTCATTGTGCACGGACAGGTAAGCCCGCCTGCCCTGCCCACCTGGGATTCAGCTGGCCAGGACTGAGCTGGCATGGCCTCCATCTCCCCACCCCTCCCTTGGGCCCCATTTCTCCCAGACCCAGCCGCCTAAGGCAGCGTCTTCTTCCCAGGCAGGGAAGTTCAGCCTGATTCCCACCATCATTAATCTGGCCACAGCACTGACCTCCATCGGGGTGGTAAGGAATGCTCAATGGGGTTTGGGGGTAGGAGCATGGGAGCCTGCCTGGCCCTTACGCATCGGTCTTGCTGGCCTCAGGGCTCTTTCCTGTGCGACTGGATCTTGCTAACATTCATGAACAAAAACAAGATCTACAGCCATAAGAAATTCGACAAGGTGTGTACACCAAGGCACTCCTCAGGTAGCTGGCCGGTGACCTTGGCCTTTGTTTTGGGCCAGGCCCCTCCTCCACCCTGTCCTGGCTCTGCAGAACCAGGCCGGGTGGGCAGACCGCAGGACAAGGGGCCAAGCCAGGCCCTGGCCGCCCTGCCCCCACAGCCTCGCCCCACATTTACCCCCTCCGAGCAGATGGTGGATGCTCCCGAGCAGAGTGCAGGACCAGAGCTTTGTGCCTCCAAGCATTCCCAACAGGACCCTGCACTCATGGACCCTCGAGGTTTGGCCCAGCTCTGAGCCGGACCTCCACCTTCCATCATGCTGCACTGAACACCTGGGCCTGGCAGGCCCCTGAAGTCTGCAGCTCCAAGACACAGCCCCCAGCTCAGACTCACACAGCAGACCTGGGGCCCTGCCTATGCACCCCATGTCTCCAGGAAACCGGGAACCAAGGATGCCCATGCAACCAGGCAGTGGGCTAACAGGAAGGGGGCAGTCAGGGGCCCCCAGCATTCCCAGCCTGCAGAGAGGGGCAAGTTCCTGCCTCCTCCTCCTGGCTGACCTTCCCGCAGGCTCCTGGCCCTTCCCCATCCACTCAGCCTGGGAACACTGGGAAGGGGCCCACCCACCCCTGCTCAGACCCTTTGCTAAAAAATCACGTCCAGAACCAAATAAACCTGTGACCAGAACCTTTGGCCTCATTTTTGGGGAAGAGCATCTTGAGGCCCTGAAGACAAATGTGCAGTTGTGGGTCCCCATCCTTGCTATCTCCCCTCTAACCAGCCTGGGTGCAAAAGGGGCAGGCATGCCTGCTGCCCCCCACACCTGGCCAGGTTACAGTCATGTCTGACAAGGGGGCCACTGGAAGTGGGGGACAGAGGCCAAGTACACGAGGAAGACCCCAGGACTCATCCCAGCATCCACCTGTTAGTGCATTTACCAGCTTCCTGCAGGGGTCATCCCAGACCCCAAAGCTCAAAACATGGGAAAAGGATAGTTGTGACTCTCGAGGAGGAAAACCAGGAGGGAGATGAGAGCTGTATTCAAAGAAAGCTTAGGTTTCACTGGCTCTTAAACCCGAACACCCATCCAGGTTCTGAGACCTAAAACGAGGGCACAGGCGGGAGCAGGAATCTGGTGCTGGGCAAAGGGTATGGACAGGGCAGGACAAGGTCAGAGGAGTGTGGGGTGCTGGCACCAGCCATGTCAGGCCTGCGGGTAATCTGGTTACTGCATCCTTGGATGCTACAATGGTGATTACATTTAGTGGCTCCACCTGGTGCCTGTCTGGCCAGGCCCTGCTCTGATGTGCACCAGAACTTGGCTGGACAGTGGTTTATCCCACAGCTATGGCAAGTGTGCAGGTCTGAGGCGGCACGCTCCCAGTACCTCACAAAGATCATCCACCCTGTGATCTCATCACTCCCAAGGTCAGGGGTAAGGAGGGTTCAGACCCCACACCAGCCCCGGGATCCCATCTGAATGTTGGCAGGTAGCCAGAGCTGGCCACCCCACTTGCTCACCCCCGCCAAGTGGGCTGGCACTACTGGCTGGAGCCAGCAAACACAAGGAAGCCCCCACCCAGCCACCCCTGCAGACCCTTCAGTCCTTGCGACACCGGCTGCATCTGTCACCTTCCTCAGGCTCTGGCTCAGAGACCCAGCTCTAGTTTTGAAGAAACTGGCTTTTCCAGTTGGGGCTGCACTGCAGCTCAAGAATCAGAGCCAGGGGCTCAGGTTTCCCATTCCTAAACATGAAAGTGACCCTGGGGCCCTCCACTGGCCCCAAATGCCCCCAGTCCCTAAACTGGCCTCTGAGGGAACAGCTGGGAGCTGCAGAGATGGCTGGGCGCCCGGCACCCCCCGGTCCTGCTGCAGGGACTGCAGTGCAGTGTTCAGGGGAGGTACACACCCGGCCCCATCTCTGTGCCCCTCCATACTCCCCTGGGACGTCAGCTTCACTTCCAGGAAGCCTCGTTTAAGTCCTCCTCCCCACCGGCCCTAATTTGATTTGACCTCCATCTGGGGGCTGAGGGCTCCGTCCACCTTCCAGGCAGCATCAGGTTTCTTGTGGCCACTGGGCCTGGATGCACCCGGCGAGCGGTGCCCAGGGACCAACGCACCCGGATGGGCAGACGTTAGCTATTTAGTCTTCCTTCCTTCCAGAGACCGAGGCGCCTTGCACAAACATGCACACAGTAAAAACCTCAAGAAACATAAAACTCGAAGTGTAACTGAGTGATGCTCAGAAAAATTAAACAGCAAGGATGAATTTAAACCAGGCTCAGAGCCAACAGTGTGGCTCCCCAGCATACCAGGGGCTTCCCGTGAGGTACCTGTTTGGGGTTTGAGTTTATGGTTCACATTTAACATTTGTTGCCTTGCCAATTTGGCCATTTTTCTTTTTCTGCTTCTAGTCGCAGTTAGTTAAAAGTGAGGTACACAGAGTTGGTCTTATGTCTTGGGGCTGACGACAGGATGGACGCTGAAGCGAGTGCTCAGCAAAGGCTTCCGAAGGTCTCGGGAAAGCAGACTCCCCAGCCTGCCCATTCCCCTCTCCCAGCCCCCACCAAAGGGAGAGCCAGGTGAGCATGTGGTCCCACGTTTCTGTGCAGCGACAGGGCTCTCTGAATAAGCTGCTGTATGTGTCCCATTTTAAAGGGGCCACAGCCCTAACAGACCCTCTTTGCCTCGGACTGCAAACCCTGAGCCTGGGTGCCCTGCTCAGCCGTTGGAGGTCGGGCAGGCTCATGGGGTCAGAGGTCTTGGACAGATCCCTGAGGCTGAGAAGCAAGAACAGAACTGCCTCAAACCTGACAAAGTTGCTGTTGCTGTTTTCCCCCTCCCACCCCAACCCCTCAGAGCTGAAGGAACGAACTTAAAATCTCGTTGGTAAAGAAATATTTTCCTAAAATCCAGGTGCTAACATATGATGTTAAAGTTCGTGATAACTGGTGTGCGTCTGCCTCCCCCTGGGCCCACAGGCTCCCTGCTGCAGTCAGAGAGCGGAGTGGGCCAGGGTGGGCCTTCCTCACAGCACACACAGGTTCCGAGGGCAGGGGTGCCACACCTGGGCCGGCCCACGGCTGTGGCCAAGCCCTGGTGTGAGAAGCCCAGGTCTGAGACCCTCCTCCTCCTGGGCCCCCCCAACCCATACCCAGATTCTGGGCCTCACTGCTGCAGACAAGGTAATTGCGCTGTGATGCAGACACCCTCACAGACTCTGCTCTGATTGGGAAGTCTCCACAAAGAAGCCCAAGTCCCAGAAACTTATAGGAAAGACACCCAGGTCCCCACAGGATCAGGTGTGGATTCCCTGGAACTGGCCCACATCCTGCTGGCGTGAGGCTGCAGGACAGCATTTCTCTGTGGTAAGAAGTGACTAGAGAGCAGGGGCTGCAGACTCCCACGTGGGTGTCACCTCACCCTGGTCTGGCCTCCAGCCACCCTCAGAGATTCGTCTCTAACAGACGACCCCCAAGGGCACCTTGGGGTCGCAGAGAAGAGGGTGGGAAGGGCAGGGGCTGCGGGGAGGGCTGTGCAGCAGCAGCAGAGGCCACACAGTTTACTTAGTGGGAAATAATCCCTCGCTGGAGACGTTTCTTGGGCCCACAGTGGCCTGCCCTGACCAAGCCTGGGGGACCCATGGAACTTGGAGGCAAAGCCACTTCCTGCTCTGGCTGGTCCGTGCTTCTTCTGGCCTGCATGACCCACTCCCCAAAAGCTCTCTGAGGATTGTTTTCCTTGGTGCCGGGTCCTAGATGTGGTGATGAGTTTGGGAAGTCAGGACACTGCTCGGCTTGCTAATGGCCCAGCTGGGGGTTCTTCTGCAGCAGCCACTCCAGAGACTCCATGAGATACGACATGCCATAGTGCTGGGCAATGTTCCGGAAGATTCCAATCTGCTCCATGAAGACCTGCAGACATGACCAGTTGCAGTGAGACCCAGTCCCAGAGGAGGTGCAAGGACGCAAGGCTGAGGCCTGGGCGTGTAGGGAGAGAAGCAGATATGGGCAAGGGTCAGACAGGGCAAATGGGAAAAGGGGCAGCAGGGTCACTGCCCATGGGAGCCCTCACCTTAGTGTGGATGGTGAGGGTGAAGCCCCCGGCACAGTCACAGTACACAGGCATGTTGGTCTCCTTCACACCCCGGCACTTCAGGCAGATCTGAAACAAGGAGCAGCCCTGGTCAGGAGCCTCCCCTACCCAGGCCAGTGCCAGCTAGTCACTCAGTGAACGCACCCGACGGGCCCTCCCTGGTCCCCATGGCCTTTACCTCAACTATGAATAAAATTCAAGACTTTGTAACAGGCTTCATCCAAACAAGCCGGCTGCTTCCCAGCACCCTCAGAGTGGGCACCTCACCCTTGACTCTGAGTCCCAGGGGCTCCCTCACCCCTACACACTCCCTGGGGCTCCCCGGTCCCACCGGGCACCGCTGTTCTCTGCCCAGACCCCAACACCTCCCTCAGGTCTTTGCTGAGATGTCCCCTCTCAGTGAGACTGCCCCTCCACCTAATGGTGAATACCTCCCTCTTTCTCACATACACACACTCCCTGTTTGTTCTCTTTACACTTACCACCACTTACACACTATCCTCTTTACTGTCTATCTCCCTCCACTAGAATGAAAGGTCCATGAAGCCAGCACTTGGCCTCTGTAGGTGCCCAATAAATGCTGTAAGAATGAGTCAACTGGGCTTGTGGATGAGGCCTGACCCCTAACTGCCCATGGGTGCAAATCGCTTATCAAGAAACCCTCCGTCAAATGGAGGGGTAGGCTGGGGTGGAGCAAAGCCCCCCAGTACTGGGCCCTACTGCCCACCAGGTCCTGCAGAGTGAAGGCCATCAGCTTCTTCTGCAGGGCTTCCACCAGGGCCATCTCGATGACTGACGAGTCATAGGCGATCTGACAGTTGGAGCAGAGCCACTGAGGCAACACGGCCCCATCCTAGGCAAAGAAAAGAGATCAGGTCACCCCTCTGCTCAGCCTTCCTCAGCCACGTTTCCACACCAGCTGAGAAGACCCCAGCATTGAGAAGGGACTGGAGAGAGGAGGGGTCTCGGGTGAGAGGTGCGTTACCGCGTGTGGCTGCAGGCCCACAGCTCCACAGCACACTCACACCACCATTATCACCACTCACATGCCTTCAGGATAGTGTTCTGGTGTATGGCAGTTGAGTGGCTTAAAAAAAGGGTGCCTGTTTCTAATTCACATCAAAGCTGGCAGGGGCTCTCGAGGTGGGTCACTTGAGAGGAGGCGCTGCAGGACCTCTCTTTATCACCTGAGGCCTGGATGTTCAGAACCTACCAGTGAGGGGCCTGTGGGAAGTGGCCCACCTGAGAGAAAGAAGGGTCTTTGCACAAGTCCAAGTCTCGGCAGAAGTTACAGCTGTGGCAGATGACCTCAGGGAGCACGTAGGAGCGGCAGGGGTCTTGGAATTGGGCCTCCTCTGAGAACTCGCCGACGTCCACCAGGCGGAGCAGGTCCCGGTTCAGCTTGTTCACCTGGTTTGTGATGTTTGTGTCCAGAGACAGGACCTGCAGAGAACAGAGCCCACGTCAGGGCCAGCTCCTGGGCTGGCTCTGCTGTTCTGTCTGGACCGGAAAACCCTGCAGCTGACTCTTTAAGCTCCAGTTTCTCAGCATCATCTCATCACTTCCTTATCCCGTCAGAAGTGTCAGAGGGGAGAGCCGCCTCTTCTACATCAGCAGTCCCCCAACACTGGGCCACATGGGTGGAGGCCCTGCTCTGCGCCCTGGTCTCGGGTGGTCGTCTGCTCCAGGGGACTGAGACACACTTCAGTTTGCTCCACCTGTCATCCTAACTGTCTCCTTTGTCCTCACTAACAGGCAGCCCTAAGTCTCCTGGAGCTTTACAATCTCATTTGTAACGTGGATGATTTCCACCTTCCACAGAGGAGGGATTCCCAGACCAGCCTAGAAAAGTCTCAACGACACAAGTGTGTTAGAGCCTGCGGTGCCGGCACTGGAAGTCTGGCTCTCACGGTGGGGCCTAGAGAACCACAGGTGAGTCACCTAACCCTGCTGTCTGTTAAAGAGGAAAGAACAGGACTGACATCTTTTAGAGGGGCCTCTTCCACCCCTAAAGCTGCTGTCCTCACGCAATGCAAGAGCAGCACAGAACCACACACCACTTGGAAGGCTTCTGTGGGAGGGGTGTTGATGGTTGAATCTGAAGCCCACCCTAGCCAGTGAGACAAGTAAATTTGAGCAAGTAGGTGAATTTGCAAATACATATAATGAAGATTGACAGCCTGTTGGGCAGTATAATATGGTTTGTTTAAAAATATATACATCTCCTATGCAAATAGGAAAAAGATGGATTGAGTTAAAAGAGAGAGAAAAAAATGAAGAGAGGTTTCACTGGTAAATTTACCAAACATTGAGGCAGAAATAATACTGATTCTACACAGTATCTTCTAGAAAACACAAGAGGAACAACACTCCTAACTCATTTTATGAGGCTACCATCATCCTGATAACAACACCAGACAAAGACAGTACAAGAAAACAGACCAACAGCCATCATGCACGCAGACTAAAAAATTCTCAACAAAATACCGGCAAATTGAACCCATCAATACATAAAAAGGATAATACATCAAGACCAAGTGGGATTTACCTTAGGAATGCAAAGCTGGATCAACATTCAAAAACCAGTGTAAAACAGGGGCCAGCCCTGAGACGTAGTGGTTAAGTTAGGCACACTCTACTTTGGCGGCTCAGGTTTGCAGGTTCAGATCCCAGGCATGGACCTACACCACTCGTCAGCCACGCTGTGGCGGCGACCCACATATAAATAAAAAGTAGAGCAAGACTGGCACAGATGTTAGCTCAGGGCTAACCTTCCTCAGCAAAAAGAGAGGAAAGTTAGCAACAGATGTTAGCTTGGGCTAGTCTTCCTCAGCAAAAAACAAAAAGACCCAAAACAATGTAAAACAATATGATCATCTCAGTTGACACAGAAAAAGCATTTGACAAAATTTAACATCTATTCATGACTAAAACTCTCAGGAAACAAGAATTAGGAAGGAACTTCCTCAATGGGTTGGAGGCGTCCCCTCAACATCTACA